AAATCTAAATATTAAATAATTCTTCGATTTTCTTGATTTTCCGCCTCTTCACGGCAGAACGAAATCGAGTTTCTCAGCGTCCAGGGTGGGCGGATACGACAGCATCGTAAACCCTCCACTTCAACTAAACTTCGTTCCCACTTCTTAAAAGGCATAAATCGCGCTATAAATGAGAAGGGCGCAGACTCCTAATCACTTTTATATCCTACGTGACATAACTTAAACACTTTCAGGTGAAAGTAGTGGTGCAAAGCAAATGACCAGTTTTTTAAGCATTTATTCTTTCTTTCAGCCACGTATTTGGTATGACGACCGTATGATGGGCTTTCTTATGTGGAATTCAGTCATGTCATGTTTTTTTGAATTTCTTCGATTTCACAGCATCATTTTCATGGAGGTCAAAGAGCATCTGAGGTGTTTCCTGCAGATATAACATCATCTTAAACTCTCCACTTTCACAGAACAGCAAACACCTATTCGGAGCATGGACATATAGGGTCATGTTCGTTTTGATATCCTTAATGAATGAATTCAGAAAGTTCCAGCTGAAAACACCGATTTCAGTAGTCAACTTCTCAAGAATTTGCTAGTTGATTTCAAAAGTGCACTTTCTCGGGAAAGAATAATTTTGCATTCATTCGAAGAATTCCATCACGTGGTATGATATTCAGCTAATATTACGTTATTGCCGAGTCCATTTAAGAGTACGCCTGACACATATTGGTATGCAACTTACAGGATGAAACGACCACGCCATGAGTAATACTGTTTGACCTGCCGAATTAGCTTGAGAAGCACACATTGCTTGCCAACAATGTGGTTGCAGCATTGCAAGCGCTGCGCACGACTGAAGATCCAACTCGTGCCGAATCAGGTGCAAACTTGAGTCGCATACACTCCCTCTGAGCCATTGGCCAGTTCAACTTGAGAACATTTCAATCAATCATTTAATAACGGTTTAAACTGGCTGCGATACCATTAGAAAAAAGCCGATCGATTTTTGACGTGCCAGGTCATGTTGTGACATTATTTACTCACTAGTCTTCATAGAAATTCAATTGTGCCCCAAGCACAAATATAATTGATCTGGCCACTCGTTAACGATCTCCTCAGGACTCACTGTATCTGCAAGGCCATGCTTTCTTGAGCCAATCAACTCACATGAGTGCAATCAACTCAGAGACGCTTGTACTGTAGTCATTTTCGACATAATCAAGGCAATCTATGCTATGGGCAAGCTAAAATTTATAGTATAAAGAAACGTCAGTAAAAGGCTCGGATGGAAAAAAAACTTACTAGGTATGATACACGTTCCCTCATCGTATACAATCAGTAGGAATGCTAAAAGAAGTGGAAGCGTTTTGATCAAATGATAGGAACGAGAGAATTGTTTCTTTTCTGGAGCTGCAAAGTCATCGGTAATATTAAAATTAGTTGGTAATCTTGTAATAATATATAATTATATTTGTGTTTCGAGCACAAGTGAGTTTTTAAGAAGACTAGTGAGTAAATCATGTCGCAACGTGACTTGGCAGATCAAAATCGATCGGCCTTCTCCTAATGTTACCGCAGCCAGCTTAAACCGCTATTGATTGATTGACTGAACTGTTCTCAAGTTGAACCGGTTGCCGGTCAAACAGTATTTCTTATAGAGTGGTCGTTTCATCGTGTAAGTTGCATATCAGTTCGTGTCAGGCGTACACTTGAATGGTCTCGGCAATAGCGAAGGCGATGGGGAATAGGATGTTCAACGTTCAACGTGTTCAACTATAATAGTTCAACATTCGATTAGGAGGCCATTCATCCATCTTTTATCAGAATAATTGAACATGATTCCATATGTCCATATTCCAAATATGTCTTTTCAGAATCAAGTGTTCCATGAAATTGGAGAGTTTAAAGTGATGTTATATCTGCAGGAAACACTTCAGGTGCTTTTTGACCAACATGAAAATGATGCTGCAAAATCGAAAAAATTCAAAAATTCATAACATGACTGAATTCCACATAAGCAAGCCCATCATGGGAAATACGTTGCTGAAAGAAATAACAAACGTTTAAAAGACTGCAATTAGCTTTGTACCACTACTTTTAGCTGAAAGTGTTTACGTTATGTAAAGTCTTTAAGAGTAAAGATTTTAGGAACAGGAACGAAGTTTTCACTATAAGTAAAGGCCTCACGATGCTGTCATATCCGCAAGTAACACCCTAGGTGCTGAGAGACTCGATCTTCATTCTTCGCGGAAAGGAAGGCAACAAATTTGAGAAAATCGAAGAGATATTACATATTTGGATTCTTCACGGGGAGAGCTTCCCCATTATCTTATTTTAGGCTTGATTGGAGTATTTTAGCTGAAGTTATGGCGAAGCGACGGTTTGCGACGGATTAATCTGTCGCAAACAATCGGTTGACCATGAACTAGTAGCAGTATTGTACTTCATTATGAATCTCAGAGCGTCAAGTATGAACCGCCGGTACGCTTCATTCAAGTCAGGCTCTCTAATCAATCAGTTCAGGTCAATAGGCCTCGTTTCCATTATGATTTCCGTCAAGTCATGACGTAATTCCAAATTTTCGGCCAATCCCTAGGCCAGCTGTCATGAATGAAGGTGGGAGGTGTACTGCACATTTACGGCAACATGTTATCGTATGGTCAATGTCTGCAAACGATGGCATGACTATAAGGTCACGCTCAAGCTATGAACCCCAAAATAAGCAGTTAGGCGTTGGTCACTTCAGCCAATTCTTTACATTTAACAATCCCAAAAGATAGCTGACGTCCTACTTAGCAGTTGTGACGGCCAATGAGAATCACTTTTCTCGCAATTCGTGACAGTACAGCTTAAATTTTGAATAATGTGAAAATGCTCACGGCATAATAACCATGAAACACAATCCGACATAACATCGACTTTTTACCCTGTTCGTTCACTCTGCCTTGTTCGCTATCTGGCAAGGATGGCAGAGTCAGTATATTGGTCGAACTTGGCATGATGTATATCATATGCTGAACATCCTTGGAGAACTGCGTTTTCTTTGTCATAGGAAATAAAACTGAATATTTATACCGTTGAACAAAATTTTGAAGGAGATAATTGATTGCGTTGAAATTACTTCGCGGGATTTGTTTCGCATTAGAACCATGCCACTTTTTGATTGCAAACAGTAAAGCCAATACACACCTCTATAAGACTTTTCGGATGAAGGATTTTTCCCCCTTACAACCCTCCTTCAAAAGACAGGTTTTCCTAAGTGAAAGTGGAAATTCACGTCTCCATAATACATTTCTAACGCTTTGTGGAATGGTCTCACAAGATTGGCGGCATTGCTGAACATTTGCGTAATTTTCCACTCACTCACAAGTGAAGACTGAAAACAGGTGAAAACGGTTGCGCTTGAATATGCAGATTGTAAAACAATCAGCGAGTGCGGTAGTAATGGTAGGGTAGGCTATTGTCGAGCTTCCAAGAAACACCTGATCTACATATGATACTTCAAAATTCTCTGAGTTCCACAGGCGAATTCTGAGATGATTTGGAGGCGTTGTAAAAATGGATACAACGGCGATTCGCTGATTCACAAAAATTCAAAATTTCCGAAGGTGAGGTTTTGGCGTTGATCTATTTTTTGGGTTACCCCCCGCAGTCAACTTTCATCCGAAATCGCAGTAGCGTGTTGAATGCGTATTTGTTCTATACAATGAACTGCTGTGGCGATTCGACATACAAGTTTTCGCCTCTGTCGTCCCGGACAAGTCCGGAACCAATTAGCCGACCTCTGATGGGTAGGGTGGACAGTACCTGCCTAGTATTTGGTCCCAGCAAGAGTGAGAGAATTAAAGAGAGGAAGAAAGTGTGTGTGCGAGCGTATGTGTGCCACTTTCCACAATACGATATTTGCCCTCATAGAAGCATATAGTGTGAAGATAGGAAAAACTCAGATCTCACCACTGTGCAGATTCAAATCCGAAAGTATGACGCTACTTGTTAGGGATATTTATCACATCTACATTCTGCTCACTTGCGGATGAAGTACACATTTAATCAGAAACGCAGTTCTCCAAGGATGTTCAGCACATGATATACATCATGCCAAGTTCGACCAATATACTGACTCTGCCATCCTTGCCAGATAGCGAACAAGGCAGAGTGAACGAACAGGGTAAAAAGTCGATGTTATGTCGGATTGTGTTTCATGGTTATTATACCGTGAGCATTTTCACATTGTTGAAAATTTAAGTCACGAATTGCGAGAAAAGTGATTCTCATTGGCCGTCACAACTGCTAAAGAGGACGTCAGCTATCTTTCGGGATTGTTGAATGTAAAGAATTGGCTGAAGTGACTAACGCCTAACTGCTTATTTTGGAGTGCATAACTCGAGGGTGACCTTATAGTCATGCCATCGTTTGCAGACACTGACCATATGATAACATGTTACCGTAAAGGTGCAGAACGCACCCCGCCTTTATTCATGACCGAAGGCTTGAGGATTGCCCTAAAATTTGGGATCACATTAGTGACGAGCTATAACGCAACAAGGTTGCCTGTTTTTATGAAGTCCAGGAAAGAGCCCACTGTTTTACCAGTCATGTTTCGCCCTTCTATTAAAATCTGAATTGAAATTATACATATTGGGGCAGCGAAGAACAGACTGCCTTAACTCACTACTTTACTTCTAACCAAGGCTGCTTCCTTACGTTCGCTTTCACTTCCTGTATGTTGCAAAATTTTCTGATCTCTTGATCGCCATCGGTCGATAATTCATGACTCCATTGCGTAGGTGTATGCTATTTGTTCTCGAAGACACACTCATAAGGACAGATAATAACAGCTATATAATTCAATTTTCTACCGCGCATCTCACGTGTTACTCGTGAGTAGTGTATTGAGCCCGTGAAAACTCATGAGAATAGGCTACATTATTCAGGTCAGCTCACTAATTCATTTGTTTTTGAAAGCTTACCGGACAATTGAATTTTCCCCCAATGTCACATGAAGCAATTATTCAGGTCTGGTGAAAACGGGAACACACTGCATCACAGGACGGAAAGTTGCAATTAAAATTGTGAACAAAGAAAAACTGAGTGACTCTGTTCTACAAAAGGTATGTCGGAAAATCACATTCCCGGAAAAATATCTTGAACTTCGAACTATGCTGGCAAAAATACTGAGCAAGAAACTCACTTCTTCAGTAAAATGTCTTAAACTTCCAACTCCCTTTTATTCAGCTTTTCTTTTTACATTCTGCTTCATTGCATTTCATCATGTGTGCACCCTTCATGAGTAAGAAGAAGTCATTTGCAACTAATCATAAGTTATAGCTGCGTTTACGGATCATCTATAGCTGTTGCGTTACAATTTGTGTGGGTCATGAGAAAAATCTATCATCGTGCAGAACATGCCATAACAAACACTCGACTGTTCCATAAGCTTTTTTTGAAAGTGCAATTGTACCATTAAATAACGTTAGTTTACATATGAAGCGCCATCAGAAGCGGTCAATTAAGAAAGCTATAATTTACGCCGAGTTATAATTTGAAACACAGCTGTAGATTTGCTCATTAGTGTGCTTTTAGAATCAATCTGATCGCAATTACACTAAACATTGGGCTTCTCATGGGCCTCCTTACAGTCAAAAAGTGTAATAGCCTAGAGGTAATTCAGAAGTCATGTCCTATTGCCCCATGTTTCTGTGTGGAGTACCCCCGACAGGTCCTCAACAACTTATTCAATATTGCCTTGAATTGAAATCACATTAATCTTCTATCTACATAACGGCTTATGTTCGCTGTTGCATATAAGCTCGGAGCACTTTCACACTTCAAGTCTCGTACTTAATGAGAAGCCTGAACACCGTTGCGGAGAGGCGTATGATGTTACATGAGTCCTACTTCTGCTAGCCATGTAATTTTTCCTTATCACTTGATCGGGATAATCCTGGCTGACTGAGTGACTCCTCTCCTGAATTCTTCAACTACTCTACCATGATTGTGCGTGATTAGCTTTACGATAAATTGGTTTGCGGAAAGAAAATCATTGAGAAGAGGTTTAGGAGCTAGGAAATACTCCGTGTGACGTGGCTGATGCGAAAGTCACAAAAAAAGATATAATTATAATCATGAATGGAGTTCCCTTGTAACACTCCCTTCGACACCTCTACCTATCGCTATATGAGCCAAGGTTGCAATGGGGGCCTGTTTGTCACGCTTTGCAATGGGGGCCTGTTTGTCACGCTATGCTACGATTAAGAAGCAATACTTCCGACCGCATGTGCCGGGCCTGAAAACTCCGCTGGTTTTCCAAAATTTTCTTGTTACAAGACGAAGTAGATCTGCCTCAGACATCTGACAAATTATCACGGCATTACAATTAGCATTTTAGGAGGCCGTTTTCGATTCCTATCCCGATCCATCAACAGCCTTGTTAGCCTATGACCTATCATGTGAGGCAGTACGGGTTCGTGTTTTCTTTAAAATCTCCTTCTGCGGTCTGACATCCTACCACGTGGACGAAGAATCTTACAGCAACCAGTGAGCAAAGAAGTATGCCAGAAGCCAGAACACCTGACAACTTCCGACAAATCAGCCAAAAAGACAAGACATCTGAATGAAGCATAGCAGCGAGCAGTTGCAGTAGTCCGCTTTACAGGAATTTTGACAACGCTCGTTCAGAGATCATCGTGAAAGTGAGCATAAAAGGAGTAGCGAAGAAGGCAAAAACATTCGGCTCCATGCCTATTTTCTTCTAATTCTGCTTTTCTTCCTGCTTTGACCCACGCATTAGAAACATGAGCTTTGTGCAAACTGAATGGATATACAGTGAGAGGGGCACGGCTTGCGATTGACGGGTACATTGGAGTGCAGTGGAGTGCAGAGAGGATTCCAGAATTACAAGCTCCATAAGTGATTGACATTTGGGTGGACCAAGCATGTCATTCGATCCCCCGGCGATTGTTGTGTTCGGGCGGTTGATTACTCTTTGGGAAACCAAACGAACACCAGGACGATCGCCAGCCCTATGGATTGATGACCATATTTCCTCAAGGGAGCTGTAATTAATTCTCCACATCAACTAGCGACAAACGACTGGAGACTTTGTTAGCGTGAGCAGGTCGGTAATCAAAGCAACTTTGGGTATAGGTGATGGAACTGCAAGATCGAAACTCGATAAGTGGTCGTGACCCTAAGTTTGAAAACCAATGGAAGCAATTCGAAGCTATATGGGAAATTCCAATCCAAATTCTAATTCAGGAAAAAAAGCCATATGGGGGATTCAAACACTCGACACAAGCGTTAACACATGACAAAAATGGAAAGCAATTTTTATCATTTTTCGCTTATAGTGGCCACCGCATTTGACACGACCAATTCTTGGTTACGGCCGTTGTCAATCGCGTGTAGAGTGGCTAAGCGTTTTGCCGTTATTTCTGCGTTTTTTCAACAGGCATCTTGCTAGAAAGAGGGTAGAGTGCAGACAAAAGTGCTCGCCATTCCTCAATGCTTAATAAAACTAGTAAAACGATATAATATACAGCGAGACCTGCCGGGCTTAGATTGATTCATTGCTGTTGCAGGTCTTCTAGTCTCTAATCTCGGTGTAAACTCACATAAAAGCGAAGTAGCGAGTGGCTTGAAAACCTGGATTTCGTGCATTGCCACATGAATTTTTGTCGATATAAAGGCTCTATGCAGTTTGTTTGTGGATATTCAAACGAAGTTCAACCTTGGTTTCTATCAGAGTACTTGTTCAGATCAAGAGCAGCAACATTTGCCAAGTTATTAGCTACTCCTTCACGTTCCTTACCTTCTCCGATTATCTGTTCAAAAACCTTTACGGTTACTAGAAGTCTATTTTCCTATAAATTCTTTGATCCTATAACCGTTCAAATGTCTACTCTCGACGGGGGAGCCCTCGAGAGAAGAGTGCGGACAACGAGCGGACACGCTTTCTTTCCGCAGGTCGACACGAAATGCAAAGACTGCTTCCCAGTCTGATTCTGTTAGCGAGAGAAATTTTGGCTGGCAACAGTCATGAAACCAAATTTCTTACAAATACCTCTTCAATAGCACTCCCGTCGTCGTGGTCTCATACAACTTCTCACATTAACTAGTTTCCAAACCCGTACTTTGCAAACTCTGCGGTTTTGCATTTTCTTCGCCACCGATGCACTGTTCTCCAAGAACATTTAGGTTATCATCCTAATGATAAGCAACCTTAGAATTATCTTCAATGCGCCTTTAACGTCATAGCACACAACCAGTCATGTTCCTTTTGCATGGGGTGGTGGAGAACAGAGAACGTACGCATGCTCTTCGGTGTGATTCGTGGAAGTGTCGAACGGATATTTGATGGTATTGTTAAAGTAACAAGTGGCTGTGATACAAGCGAACGAGTAGCATTTTGTGGAGAAAGTGAGGATGGCTGGCTTGGGTCACGCCTTCGCTTGCCATCGAACACACCTCATTACTCAACAAACGTAACACTTCCAGGTTGAACGAGAAATCGCGATTATGAAGTTGATAGAGCATCCTCATGTACTGCATCTTTATGATGTATATGAAAACAAAAAGTATTTGTAAGTTGGATTAATAACAGAGCCGCTTTTTTTGACAGCGGATTGTGACCGCCATCCACTTATCTTGCAGATATCTACTACTCGAACACGTTAGTGGAGGAGAACTTTTCGACTACCTTGTCCGGAAAGGTCGACTCATGTCGAAGGAAGCCCGAAAGTTTTTCCGGCAAATAATATCGGCCCTGGATTTCTGCCACGCCCACAACATATGGTGCGCTTATCGCTGTTTCGTGCTACATTATGCTCCAACATTCGCTGATCTTTCAGTCATCGAGATCTGAAACCTGAAAACCTGCTTTTGGACGAAAGGAACAACATCAAAGTTGCCGATTTCGGAATGGCCTCTCTGCAAGTCGAGGGATCAATGCTTGAAACTAGCTGTGGTTCACCACATTATGCGTGTCCGGAAGTGATCAGAGTAAGTAGACACAGAATCAGAAACAATGAATTAATGATATGAATACAAACAGGGCGAAAAATATGATGGTAGAAAGGCAGACGTGTGGAGTTGTGGCGTTATACTTTATGCTTTACTAGTGGTAAGCGAAAGATAATAATGCTCAACCAAAAGCTTCCGTGTCCTTCACTTTTTCATTCACTTACAGGGTGCTCTCCCGTTCGATGATGACAACCTTCGGAACCTGTTGGAAAAAGTTAAAAAAGGGGCCTTTCACATACCACACTTCGTTCCTGCTGATGTGCAAAGCCTTTTGCGGGCGATGATAGAAGTGGATCCTTCAAAAAGATATTCGGTAAAGTTCTTCTTAATATTCTTTAAAAGTATTTTCGATGACCCTCTAGTGCGATGTAATAACCAATCTGTAATTTTGTCATTAATTAAATTAGTTAGCGGACGTCTTTCGACATCCTTGGGTAGCAGGAACGACAAGGAGTGACCCTGAGCTCGAATTACCGATGTCACAGGTCGTTCAGGTGAGTGCCTATCAAATTACTCAAACGGAGTTCACGCTTGGCTGAGATTTCGGAGCTGTTTAACCCATTGACGACCACCATATCGTGCTCCTAGGACCGTGTGGCCCGCCGGCGGGCCACGGTAGTATTTACATTACTTATTGAATCTTTTAATATTTTCTGACGCCTTCAAGTATCAGCTAGGATCACAGACTTCCGGAGAACCTTGAGGCGTTGTGATCCTAGAATCACTTACTTCCAACTAAGGTTACAGGAGAAAACAAATGTTTATGTAGGACAGCATTAAAAGGAGCAAAATCAAGCGTTATCGACTGGTCATTCACATATCCTACTTGTAGTAGTTTGGAAAAATACTCAAAACAAAAGTTTTGTGGCACTCGGAGCATTTTGATGAGACCCTTTTGCCATGATTTATAAGCACGACCTTTTTCTTCGGATGTTCCATGTAGCAACCAGTGCATCTTCTCCGGCTCTTTTTCGACTTTCATTCCAATTCGTAACTTGTTTTTGGAGAGGATGCTTCCGTCCTGGAAGTGAGGTTTCTTTGAGGTACAATATATCACAGCAATGCTAACCTGCTTTCTGCTTGTAACCAATCCATAAGAGGTTCGAGCATAAATTCATCTCTCGTGTCCAGACAATTTTTATGGTGTTGGTTGGATCTATACCACACAAACCACGAAGGTCTCAAGATGAGTTGAGCAGTTCCCTATCTCCCGTAGAGTCTAACAGAATAACAGTGGATGTCGTCTTACTAACCCATTCTTTGTGATAAAGCTCCATAGGAATGTCACAGAAGGAGTGATTAGTCATCCACAGCGTAGCACGTACGTTTTGTGGGCGAATTATCACTTCTTCTGCGGCATAATGATTGAACTTTACCTGGAAGAGTGGGTGCGTAAGAAAGCTGGTTATTCCTGAAACAGTGTGGCCCGCCGGCGTGCCACAGCAACAGATCGCTAAAATCACTCTTAGTCCCTCACGCCCGACATGCTCAAAAGGCGCGGCCGACAATGGGTTGAAAATATTGTAGGTTTTTTTTCGCTGTTAGCGAGGGTTGCATGAAAGTTACCTGCACCACCACTTTCATCTTCGATTAAACACTTCTGTGTGAGAAACTGATTGTTCTTGTTCAATATCAATTAGAATTTTCAACAGACGCACATAATTCCGAGCGAAGAAAGTATTGATCCAGACGTTTTGCGACATATGAACAGCCTGGGCTGCTTCAAGGACAAACAGAAGCTTGTAAATGAACTCCTTTCGGTTCGGTTAGTAGCTCCATATGTTGTAAAGAACACCAGGATAGTAATTGAAGGAGTCTTGCACTTTAAGGCACAATACTGAAAAAATGGTCTACTTCCTGTTACTGGATCGAAAGCGACGACGTCCAGCTCAAGATGATGAGACTGAAATTATTCTACAAGGATCAGCTCAACAGAATGACCCACCAAAAAAGCGTCTAGATTCTGCTAGAGCCAACAGATACGTGGTAGGCAACATAGCTGACGGCAGCCCTATCAATCCGAGGAGAACATATGGGTATGTTGTAGCTTTGCTGTCGATGACTACGCATATTCTGTGAATTATGTAGTATCTCATCCTAAGTACTGTGGGCGAGTTCCTCCTAACGTGTCAAATCGTTTTAAACATTTTGCGCAATTCACTGTCGAGGGCAGTATTAGCGATATATTGATGATCCTGAAAAATCGAAATAGTGGTAGTTAGCCCCTACCAGTAAGCAGAAACGGCTGGAAAGTAAGGGTGTCGCAAATAAGTGCTCGGATTAAAAAAAAAGTAGGGACAAACATCTGCTTCATTGAGCTCACAAAACGAAGGTCGTTTAGAGAAACAAGGTAAAAAGATTACCGTAAGACATGTATGACTGAACAGTAAACAACCAGAACTTTCTCTTCTAGCCGAACCGTTCCAGATCGCCTCTTGGTCTGCGATGAATTGTGTTCGGAAACAGAATACTTTGCGTCAGACAAAGTGTCTGCTTACCCACAACTCAATCGCAAACATTGCCTTCAAACAACCGTTACTCTGTAATTTTTAATAGGGTGGGGCGGCACACGATTTTAAGTAAAAAAACACACACAAACAGTTTCTCGTCATACACAGCAGCGAATCTCAGGAACATAACTGAGGGCTTTGATTTAAACAAATATTAGGTTGATGCATAATGAATGTGGATTTTTTTCGCGGCTTCTGTACTCTTGATACCATTTGAATGTTGAATTCGGGATTTTTATAGAAGTAATCTCCTCGATTTCCAAAACAAATGAAAAGTCATCTTCACATTTGCTACATGCTCTTTTACTTTGAGAAAGGTTGGAAGGCAGCATAGTCATTTAGCGATTTCAACGATCTCTTTCACGATGGAATAGTCAGTCAAGGCCGAGTAAGGAATCGGATCTCCTACTGAATCCGTCATGTTCACTGATAGAAGCTTCATTGGATTATTACGTATACCGTAGTCGTTGAAAAATTGGCTAGCCAACAAAACTTACGACGAAATGAGTGACTTGATGGCCGACGTCAAGGCGCGGATCGCCTCCAATAATCGAAAGCTCCGCCTTAGGAGACCGACTCCCTAGCAAAGTGGAAGCAGTGCTTGACGTAGAATGTAGATACGTTCCGAAGTAATTACTTGAACATGTTTTTGTCCAGTTTTTTTATCGTTTCTTTAAATCAAAATTGTTGAAAAAATCCGCAATAATTATGCATCAACCTAACAAATTGTTCATTAGTAATTAATACATAGATAGATTGTTCATTCAATCCAAGATGCCAATAGTCCAACGTATGATTTAGATTGACACTTAGCACACGCTTACTCAGTTGTTCCCTCTGCGCTGTTCGTTCAACGACACTTCGTTGAGGCCGCATAACAACTCTAAAGGTGGTTTGGCTTACATCTCCTTGATAAAGAACTCCTAAAACTTATTTTTACTATCAGGATAGAAAATCCAACTGTGATTGTGTTGTAGGTGCATACGATGAGATTCAGTGTGACTATAACGCACAGTTCATTGCAGCAGCTCAGGGCAAAGGCTCGACGAATAAGGGCGCGGTTTTTGCGAAGAAGCTGAAACGGTCGCTACGGTACAGTGGTACAGAGAAACCACGACACCATTTTTATACAGTCATTTCTTTAGGTTTCTCACATTTTCCTATAAAATGCCGTAACTGAATACTTATTCAAGGTATAAGTATGACCAACTACAATACTGACATATTTCGATATTTCGTGGTCGACCGACGGCTCGCGACGGATCAACCCGTCGGAAACGATCGCTCTGTTGCACCTTTTGCTTGCTTGCTCGAGAAAACCTTCGTTCGATTTGGAGTCATTATCCTTGGTCCACTTGATGAAAAAAATGTTAGCGGAAAGCTATTTAGATACATCAAAATTATTCGATACCTCAGTTTTTCAGTTTCACTTTCACGAAAATCAGATTGGCTTTATAGGCACCTGAGGCGTAATCGGCGAAACAACAGTATCGTAAACCTTGCACTTTCAGTTTAAACTTCGTTCTCAGTACTAAAACGGGTGAAGGCTTGAGATAAAGTTTTTGGGCGTTAATCAATTCCTTCCTTTCAGAATCTCAGTAGCGTACTGAATGCGAATGTGACCGATACAGTGTCTTGTGATAACCAGTTTACGTGTAAGTCAGTGCTTCTGCCCTCTCCTACGAGTCTGGTACCAGTCAAACAGGATCGATTGGATGGCATACTTGGTTGGCATAGGCGGTTATCGATCCTAGCTTCGAACGTGGCCGTGCGTGTTCGGCTTTCGCCACTACACCACCTTCGCCAAAAGGGGTTGTATAGCAATATATTAAAGGAAGACTTAATTTTTTAATTTTTTGTTATTCCTCAGGAAGGAATTTCAATAACTTTAGCTTAGAACGACAGTTGAATCACTAATTTCCCTTCGACTTTTCTCAATAGTGGACACCATGGAGACCAGAAAATTTCGCCCATTTAGAGACCCAGATTATGTCGTTCAGGGAAGATCATGCGTCGAAGGTTGACGATAAAAGCGATTTCTCATTTCAAATTTCCCAGCTCGTGTATACTCACTGATTGCCTCCAGTGTTGATCAACTAATCAACTATGATATGGCCTATAAGGGACTGCTGAAGCTCCTCTTGTTGTATAATTTTGTTATCATTATTTTCAAATTTTGTGATGATGGCTCGATCGTCATTTACATGCTCATTGAGCTAATTACCCCTTACTACAGACCTCTATAGGCCTATCACCGCTATCGCCAGCTCCTTTTAGGAGGATACATAATGCCGCATGATAATTGATATGCAAACATCCTCATTCAAGCAATAACTAGGGTTGAACTTCTTCTGAATTTTTTTTCACAACTCGAAGACTTTTAAATCACTTTTGGACCATTTTCTTTTACCACTTCATTTCTACTTCAGCTGGGAGTTTCAGTCACGATTATTGGAATCCATAAATTCAATCACTTTAGAAGGTCACGATCTTCTGATATTATTGTACCTGATAAATTTCAACTAAAATGTGAATTGTTGCTGATCTTTTCTAGAAATTTCGGTCACTCTCGGTAATCTATAACAGTAATCGATGGCTAACGTGGAGGGCCGTTGATCTTCTGTCGAAAACCTTGCCAAATTCTTCTGAGGACATTGCGGCTTGACATTGAATCGCATCTCAAATAGCCTTAGAAGATTTATCAATCTTTGATGTTAATCGAATTTATTGAGGCTTTGAGGAGTGCAGCTGAGTTCACAATCTGATGAACAAATAGCTTTTGCTACTGTTATGCAAAATGATCATTTTTCGGAGTTACTTTTTTATAATTCGCCGTATGTGGCCATTTTTCGTCTAAAATTTGTGAGAACAAAATTCGATCTAACAAACTTGAAAAACGATAAAACGTAATACCAGATCCAATCCTTCTTTTTAATCGGGTAAGTGTGTCTTTTGGTGTGTTTGTGTCTGTGTGTATGTGTGTGTCTCTGAACGGAAATTCATAACTCTGTCCCCGCGAACCTAAAGCGTTCAAATTTGGTAGGAGTACAGGCGGCAAGATCAGACTCCACCCACAGCAGGCGGGGTTTGAGCAAGAATTCACTACCTTTCCGCTGCACCTAGAATGTTCATATTTTTTAGGTGTACTGGCGGCAAGATCGGAACAATTATGGTTGGTAGCAGGAGCAGACTACGCCCACAATGGGCGGGGTTTGGGCGAAAATTCACGTTCACCGGTCCCGTGCACTTAGAGCGTTCAAATTTGGTAGGAGTACAGGCGGCTGGATGGGAACTCTTATGTTAGGGGGCAGGGCCGGACTCCTACCATAATGGGCAGACTTTCAGCGAAAATTTATAACTACTGTCACCATGCGTCTAGCGGATTCAAATTCATTAGGGGTTCAAATGACAGGATCGGGAGGGTGGGAACACTAATGGTAGGTGACAATTCTCGACTCTGGGCGGGGAGTGTTTGAAAATTGGCATTTTGGATCAGGGGCATTCAGATTTCTAGGAATAAAGATGACAGCATGGGAATGATGATGGTAGGTGTCATGATTGACAGAAGGCGGGATGCACCCGAAAATTGCTAATCTTGGCCTGGGGCGTTCAAGTTTGGAACGAGGGCAATCGAGGACCGAACTGCCCGGTCGTAGATTTTCTTAGGGCGAATGGCCACGCCCTGCAACCATGGGCTGTTCGAAAAGTGATTGAAATTCTTGAGTCTTACGAATTTTTTTAATAAACGAACGAACTCTGATCAATGGCATATGCCCCATTTCTTTCGACTATCTTCTGCTATGGACAGAGGTTGTGTGGTGGCAAGTGGCGCACATCACACACGTATGGTCTCGGGTTCGAATCCCGGGTCGATATTAGGCCAGGGCCTAGGCCAACCAAGCCCTCCATCCCTCCGGGGTCGGTGAAGTGGTACCAGACACGTCTGGGAGAATAAAAGTACTGGCTTGTACATCGGCTGGCCACCGCAAGTCATTGTATAGGCCACATACGCACTCACTACGCCACTACGATTCTGAGTCGAGTGCGGGGGCGCATCCCTCAGACGGGATTGGTTAATGCCAGAAACTTAGACCTTTATCCTTTATCTTCTGCCTTCCTTCCGATGATTTCATACTTCTTTCCTTATAGAACTTCACTTTCTTTCTCAGCATAAAACCGAACCACAGCAGCGGTCGAAAGTCCTTGATGGAACGCTTCTCCAATCGTAACTTTTCCCTCTATAAAAGGATTTCAGGAATGTTTGATATGCCGAACCTCATCCTCAACCTCCGATATTGAAAAAATCAGTTTATACTTTGTTGCTTCGAAGCTGGGGGATCAGGCGACTATATGCAGAGGTTCCACTAATGAAGCGATTTTTCCCGGCTGCGAGGTTAGCGATAACTGAATTTTTTGCATCCCATTTGAGCTCGACTTTGGTACTTGTACCCTCAAGGCATGCACATAAAAACAGAGGTCACTCAGGGGTTCGGCAGGCAGCAGTAGAAGTGAAGCAACCATGCATGAAACTCACGGCTTCAAAAATTTTGAAGGATCTTCGGCTGATCC